CAATGATCATCAGTTGATATTGTGATCTTTTGTTTATACTTGTACATTTCTAAGGAATTTAAAAGGTCTGACATTGTTTGCACTAGACTTGATTGGCCTATCTTTCGTTCGTATTTCCCGCTATCTGCGCTATTTACCAGTGCGCGCAAGGCGCCAGTAAAAAAAACCCTCCAAAATTAAAGCAGTCCCAGTCTGAAAGCCATGTTTCTAAGGTTTATTTTGGTACCAAACATGGATAATAAAATGGAAGATCAGGCCAAGTATTCGCGTGAAACACGCGTCTTCGCCAGCCGTTTCACCGTCAAGTTAGTGTTTTCAAATTGTACGATTTCTATATCTAGTACCAAAAAGGACGCTGTTGATCGTCTTCAAAATAGCTGAAAATCGCTGTGTTCCTACCTCAATATGTGGACTTTGGAAATGATCTATGGAATATCAGTGACATGTAAAGGAACACGATCAGCTACGGTGAAATTTCGCTTCTTCGCGAATTTTCACCATGAGATACAAGGCCAAAGGGAGACGACGAAAGGAAAATAAATTGTCAAAAAGGACGCTGTTAACAATATTGGATTTATTTGGATTTCCTACAGTGGAATCAAAAATAGTTTCCCTCTACGAATTCATCTATGGAATCTTTCCAGTTAAAACAGATGAAATGTTATTCTCAAATATTTTTTTTGATCCATATATTTCTTTATAAAATTTACAAACATGTTTTTATGCATTTATGCGAAGTACCGCTGCGATTGCGGGCTCAAATGTCCGGATTTTCTGGCCATGTTAGACAGTCAATCAGAATGTCATGATTAATAGTATCGAAAGCAGCACTTAAATCTTAAAATGGTTTATTGACACACTCTTGACGTCAAGATGTTCAAAACTTTGCAGTGAGACAACTCGCTGCGTTGGTGGTTCCATTTGACTTTTTTTTTACTTAAAAGTAATGTCACATTGCATAGCCCTCCAAGGAAATACACTGGCTATACAATTGAACTGACTAAACAAAATACGTAATAAAGTCTGAATATTCCTTTTGATCAGTCATTGGTGTATCTGCTTGGTTGTTTTATTGTTAGTACGCTTCTCTGTATATATACAATCACTGGATCGTAAAAATGAAACATGCTACACTATAAAGAGCTGCTGAATAAGTATTATTTTTTCGACAAAACAGCGTGTCATGTGCGCGCCGACAAACAGACACGTCAGTTTAAAAAATATGACGCTTAAAGATACTTTAAAAAAATACCATGATTTTCGAAATAGCTATATATGTTCTTTTTGTGGCTCATTTAGTGTGTTTAACTTCGATTCTGTCTCCTTCGCGAGAAAGGAAGTTAAAGTGTTGACAGCCACGCCAAAAACTTACAGTTGTCTATTTAATAAATTGAGTATTTTTACTATTCTTAAAATTCCAGTTAAGCCGAATTGCTTTGAATTGCTTTGCTTATACTAGAAATGTGAAAATATAGTCAATAGTGTTAATTTTGGAAGATTGCTATGGTCCCTTGTGTTAGGTTGTCAGTTTAAAAAAATAACATAGTTCCAAGAAAACGATGATGTGTCATTATTCATGTTATTGGGGATTAGCTTCAGACAAACGGGAATGTCTAATCAAAAACATAGAAAATTACCAGGAAGCTTATTTCCATTTCGGATAAGTAGTGCCTTAGATATTCTATCAACTATGATATTTTCAATGATGTACTTAATTCTTTCTTTTGCTGAATTAACTTTTCAGGACAATTAAACAGTGTAGTAAGAAGAAAAACCTCACTTTACACTTGTACATTATTATAACAACGAACATTTGCTTGATAGTGGCGTCATGGCGACACCGAAACGTCGCATTAATAACAACAAAACCGTGTTTTTTCTTTCCTTTAATATCTTTTTCTGGGGATAGAAATTAAAAAACAATGAAGACAACTAATGAAGGCACTTTTTTCCACTGAATGTTGTTGTTTGGCGCTGAGATCTAATCAGGCTAACCCTATTCACATTTTTGACAGTAAAATGCCAAAAATTTAAACCTGTGCCGGGCGTGAGACCAGGTCTTCTCTAGAAATTCAAAACAAACAATGTAAAAAGGGCGGTTTGGTTACAGCAGAAGATGTCGATTATCGGCATTGTACTCGCCACCAAATCATGACAGGTACGTTTAACGGCACTGTCTTAAAGTAAGTTCCTGCATGAGTTTAAAAAAAAAAAAAAATTGGAGAGGCAAGGATTTGTGTTAGTGTTCATTTATTTACGTTATTCAAGTATTTTTTCGACCTCGCGGTCTAATTGTGAAATATTACATTAATGTATACATAATATCTAAATAATGAATGCTTGTGTCCACATGTTAAAACATGTCATGTAAACTATCCATAAGAGGCTTAATTTTCTTATTGTTGTCTCCAACAAATATAACTAGAAATTACTAATTATTGTCCATTAATATATACCTAATTGCAAAAACATTGTCATAGAGAATACAAGTTTGTGTTTAATTTTGCAATATGACATTGATCCTACAAAAGTCATAAATCTATCTATGAAAAATAATCAAAATGTCATTTATATTTTTATTTCAAACTATATAAATATAAATGCATATAATGGATCTGATAATATCTGCTAAAATATCCATAATCTGTGAATTATCTATAAATTGTTGCCATTTACTATGGTATTGGTACAGCTACTTAAACTCGACTTCGTCTCGTGGATGAACTTTAATTTGACGATTCAATGTCGCCAACTGTGATAAATAAGAGAAAATACCACGAGAAACATAAATTTGTGTTCTTTTACCACAAAGAATACTGTACAATAGGCAATGTGCAGCGATTCCCATTTTGTGCAGCAAAGTATGATGGTGTAGTTGTAGTCCTCGTACTTTTATAGCTCCTAAAATATCTCCTTAAAAGCCGTTTATATTTTCTTTTAGAAACGTCACAAATACTTCTATTCTCGCTTAGAAAAAGCAAAAACTGGTTAGTAGGACTGTTTTTGCAGACGTAAAAAAGTGCAAAGACTACAACTACCATGATCCTTTGCTGCACAAAATGGCGTCGCTGCACATTGCCTATTAGATATAACTTGACAAGAAAAAAACAGTCTCGCTGGTATGTACTATTTTTGACATGGCTCTCGACAAATCAGAAATCGAGAAAATTTACAATTGTGGTTACAAGTATAATTGACTCTGCTAAACATAACTTTGGAAATTAAATCTTACTAATCAGTTTCTCTATTGATATACACATTATTAGTCGGGCGCAGGCCTTAGGCCTGGGCACGACTTAAGTTCTACCTTTTCTTCAATCTATCTATCTATCTATCAACGTCGCGTATAGTCCCCCTTGATGCTTTACGAACTTAAAAATGGTCTCGTGGCCTGATAACACAGGAGACCCAATGTCACTTAAAACAAAATGCCTGACAGACGGCGGCAAAAAGTTGTCTCGTTTTAAATGGGTCTGAAATGTAGCTAAAATACTCTAAAGAGCTGAAAATCTAACAAAATCAACTGACTAACATCCAAATGACATGGAATAAGGTATATAATTCAAGGTTGTCGGATGATTCGTGCAGAAATGACTGGGCATTTTGTACCGCCGACACGAAGAACACTACGTCGCCACAACAACTGCTCGATGTCAATCACAAAATCTTCAAAAAATAAGAAATAACATGGATATCTAAGGTTGATACTTTGACAGAAGAATAATTATTCGATGGACTAAAACATATCAAACCTCATCTGAAAAATATTGATGCCATTTTCTAAGCTGACGATGTGTTTGAACTTGAAAACTGCACGTGTACGTGCTTACTGAACTCTGTACAAAATCTATATTGTGTATGAAGCATTTTAATTCTTTATTAAAATTTGTTTTGATGATTGTTTAACTTGAAAAACTAATCCAAAAATATAAACTGTCAGGTACACCTGTTTGATGATGGCACAGAACACCAGATGTAAAATTATAAATTACAAATACAAGAAAAACACCAAATAAAAAGAACAGAAACACAAGATCTTACATGATTCAAACGATCAAAATAATTTTCAAAGTTATACGATACTGACAAAACTGCAAAGACTGTACCGTTTCTATGGTTTATATGACCTTTCAGATAGTATCTTGCATTGAATATTATAGACGCTCTTGACAGAGCGTATTTTGGAGCTAGTTATTTTGGAAAACTGAAAAAGACATGATATCTAAAGAAGTTACTTAGAGTTCAGTTCTGTAAAAAATTATGATGTAGTAAACAACTTATATTAACTTGCGATGGGATATGTAATTGATGTATGGTATATAACATCAACAAATATTTTGAATACGAAAAAGCTAACGGCTTGCTGTGAGTATACATGTATCACTTAGGGCCTACATAAGTGTTAAACATGATCGTAGCCCGACGTCACGATCGATTCGATCGTCTAGTTGAAAAGCCATTGTCATAGAGAAATATAAATTTTGATTTCGTAAAAAGATAACATTAAATAAATAAAAAAACATTTTGCATGTCATATATTCCATTGTATATTCATGTGTATTGTAAGACGTGGAAATAAAGTAAGATCTAAATTTTTCGAAAGAAACGTTTTAGAAAATAAATTTTGAAAAAAACTGATTCTCTACTTGTTGAAACTACGTCGTCTGACTGTCTCTGACTTGCGCTTTCTATCGTTTTTTAAAAAATTCAACTCAATTAAATTTTAAAAATCAGTGTTTCTGCGAGTTGTGAGTTTGAAGACGGCATGAAATTTCCCACATATCCACTACGGACTGAACTTTATCCGGACGGATGGGGCCTATCAGCTCTTCTTGTTTTTGCAATTCCTTGATTGCTTCCTCTGCTTTGCCTTTATTGAGATGTTTTACATGAGCAACTGAATTTCGTGATTGCCGCAGTAGTTTCAGGACTTCTCCCATTTCCGGTTCCCAGTGAACATCTTCTTGGAACTTTTTCCACTTCCGTTCGGCTTCCTTTTGTTGGACGTCTGGCATTTTTTTTATCTCATTCTCGATTTCTGACATGTGATATCTAAGATGGTACTTGTCGAATTGATCGCCCATTACGACACGGTAGGCGTTCAAGCAGAAATTATAAGCTATCTGGCCAATGTATATCATATGAGGCACTTCAGACAATTCTTCCACTTTTTGCTGGAGTGACTGGATGTGCCTCATATTTTCTGCGATTTTATCGCTATCTTTCAACTTTTCACTTTCCAGAGATGCGATTCGATTGCTATGTTTATCTAGTCGACTTCTCTGATTGGAGTTCTTAAGTTTCAGTCTTTCAATTTCAGCTTCCAAATCCTTTATCTTGCTATTGCACTCCGAAACTTCCACTTCTAGTGCTGTTATTCTGTCCTGATACTCTTGAATATTTTCATCCTTCACATTTAATGGATATTTCACATTCGACTCTAATTGTCGAATTTGGCCATCTCTTACTTGTACTTGCCGTTTTAGTTGCTCAACTTCTTTTTCAAGTTCTTCGCAAGGTTTGCTTCTGCGCTGATTCCATTGTTACGTTTGATTAAGATTAGGACAACTGATGATACTGTAATAACAAGAAAGTGCAATATTTAAATGATACTATAGGAAAATTCATTGGATGACGAGGGAATTCCGCAATGAATTTCACGAGAAAAACGATATCGCACGAGTCGCGAAGCGACGGAAGCGACATGTGAAATAACAGTAGCTTAAAAAGCGAAGCGAGTAAAAAACAACAAAGCGCGGGCTTCCTGACTTTTCATTGAATTCAGCTTTTCAATCCGCTAACAAATATTGGTCGTTTTTATAGAACAGCGATATTGTAACAAAGCCTGTATATCATTTTTGGTTTCTCTATGAAAAGAGCTTCTATTCTTGTTACTTTAAATTGTTATTTGTGAAAGAAATGGAAAGAAAATACGACAAAATCAAAATTCAATCGCGCGGGATCCCTGATTTTTCATTGAATTCTGCTTTGAAGCGTTGGATTCCGCGCTGAATCCTTCACATTTTCGTCATCTCGGACCAATCAGCGCGCGATTTAATTATGTGATATGAGATTCTAGTTAATATTCGTCAGTAAACGTTTCTATTTACATTCCATGGTCCAATCAATCAGTCAATTTATTTATTATTACTCGCGCGAAAGCGTCGAGTTATAAATTTAGCATCGTTCGTGTTATTTTTATTCATATTTCGGGGCCTGAAAGTCTAAGAGCATAGGTTTGCAAACGGCCTTTTCGAAGTACAGAAAATGACAACGAATAGATTCGAACGCACGAGAAAAGACCCTGAACCTTCAATCTCGCTGAGACTCGCAGCTCCTCTGGTGGCCTCCTCCCCGATATGGTGCTCCTCTGCTTTTCTACTACTACTTGTAACCCCATGCAGTCACTTTTGTGGTTACTCCAGTCCTGAAGGACGGAGTATCTATTATGTTATCGCCCGATGTAAACAAGAATGGAAAGGTGCCTGTAACAACCAAACGCTTGAACAACCGAACACTCGAACAACCGACTCTTTTTTCGAGACCTGCTCAAATTCCAGCACTGAACTATCAAAATGTAGCTACTCTTATAAGCAAAAGAAAACATGAAAGCTGGGGAAGGGGGAATTCCTTTACAAAAGCTATTTCGAATATTAATATCTTCAAAGCTTTATGACTTAGTTGTTAGTTATTAAACTTTGGAACAATAGACATTATAATATTTTAGATATAACTACCACTCCAAAAATTGTACTGTTCTCATTGAAAGACTTTCAACATTAACCTTCGAGATTTGCAGATATTTCATAAAGTGTGAATATTTTCCAGCAGTTTTTTTTATTTAATTACTTTAATTCCAAAAAAAGATTTACTAAACATATTTTTTTATCAGGGTGAATACAGCTATGTCTGGTACACAAATCAACGAAGCATCACCATTCACTGAAGCATTGAGAAAAATGTAGTAACACCACCTCAGCAGAATTGTGCATGGGGTAGTGACTGGATTAGAAAAGGCTACAATAGCTCATACTTAGCATGTTTCAAGTGTAACACTACCCTAGCAATTCAAAAAATATCGAGTGCAATTCTTGTCACCTAAAGCAAAAACTCTCAGGATGTAAAAGATGGTATGCACAATTTAGTATAGTCTGAGTTGACTTTGTCTCATAGACTCTGTCCTCATTTTTAAAAGTACAACAAAAATGTTTTCACGAACACATTCCCGAAAAAACTCTTCATTTCTGTTTAGGTATCATAGTTCCATGAACAATGAGTGCAATCGATTACCTTGTTGAATTCTGCAATCAATTCTTTGTTTTCAATGATCACGTGATAGTTTTAAAAAGCTATGAAGGCGCGTAAAAAAATGTATAGAGATAAACTAAAAATGAGTTTACGCTCGCGCTGAGCATTTTTTTGTCTCCAATTTGCTAGTCGATGTCTAAATCAATGTTTTAAACTTCTCACAAATATCCTGAGAGCATACAATATTAATGCTGTGTCTACAGTGCTGTTCTAATTTGAAAAGTGAAACTAAAAGTTATTTCATTTTCGTTTTCATTTCCATCAAAGTTCAAAGATTTGATTGCTACTTCAATAGTCTGAAGACTGTCGAGTACTATGCATGGTCACACTTAAAAACGCAGTACAACGTTAACCTACGAAGTTCGATATTTCTAATAAATAATGCACTTATTTTTTTTCTATAGAACGATGTAGTTCTGAAAATTGTCACGTTTCATCTGATCCGTATAACTGTTGGTGACAACGATATACAGTGTTCAAACAAACATTTCTTATTTGAGAGCAGATCTAAAGAAATTACTGTATGCAACAAGCCACACACTAAAGGATAAAATTTAGGCTCGATTTAAACTTGTCGATCTAAAGCCTGTCGTAAAAATTTGAAGATTTTTTATTATCATTGTTATTACTATTACAAAAATCTTTCCTTTATCTTCTTAGTATTAATGTGGAAATATATTTTCAGTATCATATTTCATAGGATTCAATATTAATACTTTATAATATCATAAAATATCTTTTTCATTGTTGTTTTCATGTGCATTTTTAGTTTGTTTCAAAACTTTAACGTTGAATAGGGCAAAAATTAACTCTCACTGATAAAAATTATTCAAAAGTGAAAGTGAAAATGATAAGTGTTTTAAGCTTTATAGTTTAGAATAGAATAGTTTTCAAACTTTACATTACCTAATCTCCTTCTTTCAAAGTATTCGTAGTTCTTATTTTGTCCGTTGATTTTTATTGTGGGTTGATGCCAGATCGGCCAGTGAGGCAAAATTGATATCTGTTCGCCCCAGAGTATCTTTATACGGAATATCGAATGTCTAGAAACAAACAGCTCGACCAATCAGATTTGCGATGAGACATCAATTATTAGAAAAACATTTATTATGCCAATAGGGGGAGGGAGGGGAGAAGATGCCACTATATAAATATTTCATTGATTTTCTTGAACTCCCGTTTGGAGTCATGAATTTTCAAGGCTAATTTATGCCAAATTGACAAAATGTCCGGAAAAACAATAGGATTCTGCCCAATGATAATTTATAATTTTTTTCAGAATATTACCGGGGCCCCACTTTTCGTTATTCATTCATTTCAAGGCCCACCTATAGGATTTTTTAAAGTTATGAAACCTTTTTTCAAAAAAGCAACAATATTGTTTTCAGAGAATATAGGTGAGCATGAAAAAGAGTCGTTTTTTAACGGTTTTTGAGAAAAAAAATTATACCCTGGCTGACGTAAGTTTTTGACATTTTAAATCAAAATTATATTTTGAAAACATGAGTTAAAAATCATCAAAACTTCATGCATCTCTCTTCTATCGAACTAACTTTCTGTCGTAATTAAAGAATTGACAATGTAATTGTTTAGGTAACTAAGTATTCTGTCTTCATTTCAAAGGAAGAAATAAAAAGCATTTTCCCTATCCGTATGACACCTCATTCTCCCGCAGTGTAAAGTCAAACTTTTATCTTAAAAATATACCAAGCAAGTTACTATTAGTTTACATAAAAATGTGTCCAATTTTTTTTTATGAATTTGGATGGTTAGCTATAAATATTAAAAAACGAAAAAGCATTCTTGTTTTGATAACACTCTAGATATTTGATTCAGTGGTAGCCCACGTCATCAGAAGTACATAACCAGAAGTGTCCATCTCCCCAATAATATCGCCAACATCAGATGTCCCGATAATCTATTTTTAGACAACCAATCACAACGTGCGCACATCTTACACGGCACCTGATTGGTCCTTGTTGATCTACTTCAAGAGCGGACAAGAAAAGGAAAATGTAGTCGATGAGAGGCGAACGAAGTGAAGCTTGCATTACGAGAATTTTACAACTTTTGCTGAACAACCATTTATGAACAACCATTTATGAACCATTTATGAACAACCATTGCTGAACAACCATTTATGAATTTGGTAGAAAACATTCTTTACTATATGAGCAATGTAGCGAAAGTATTTCAAGAGCAATATGGTCTGCGAAAACAAGGGAAAAGTTCAGACAAAGACGAAGAGATTCCTTCCTGCACTGGAATATTAAGTTTAATCAACTGTGATTCCGTACATTTCTGTACAAGTGCTTACAAGTGCTCAAATTACAGGCGTTTAATTCATTTCAGGAAATGCCCACTGAACATAGCATCCGGGATACCAAAGAAAACAAACTGACATTTCCGAATTCTAAAATGAGCTATTTAAAAGAAAAGAGTGAACAATCTTTGAAAAACCTTTTCTCCAATCTTAATGGAGCCACAAGCGTGGATGAAATGCTTAATCTCGTCAAGAAAGTCATCGAAATTTTGAAAAGGCCAGAAATCTACTAAGACCTGAGAGTCTATCTGGTAAATATCTCTTTTTTTAATATTTATGTTTGAACTGGCGTGACTTGTGGTCGGACGCGAGGAATGAAAAAGGCGGTATCATTCTCAGGGTGCACCTTTATATCTCCGACGAGGATGACCCCGGACAGTTTTTCTTCACTTATCCGCCATTTTAATAAAAAGTAAAAAATGATCTTATTTTTAGGAAAATAAACATCAATTCATGGATATTTTGAGCCGAATTATCGATAAACCTTATAAAGACGCGTGGGAAAAGTCACAAAAGGTATTAACATTATTAAGAAGCCGAGCCTTGCATCAAAGCGATACAGTGGTTGAGCAAAATGTCATGTACGACGTATTGTCCAATGTGTTTATCACTGCAACCTCAACAACTATTCCACTTTGATAAAACTGAGACTGGGCTACTTTTCAAGATGGCCGCTAGGAACTGTTGAACTCAGTAATAAAATTGAGCGATGGCAATTCAAAAATTAAGACATCTTCTAACAATATGTTCTTGTTCTATTAGATTCAAGATCTTGTCAGTCTCGTAGAGGATGTAGGAAGAACACTTCTTCTGTCACTAGAACACGCTAACCAAACAAATCAAGATAATTATTATACAACGCCAAATATCGGTAAGAAAATTTCATTGAAATATAGTCTATGGTATAATGTTGTTGCTTGGTTGTTGAGTTGGTTCATTTGTTGATGGGTTGGCTTCTTCTTTTCTTTTACGCCATTTTGACCAGGTGACACATAGCGCCTCCACCAAGACTTTCCAGTATTTCCTGTCTCTGCTGGCTTTCCTTTCAATTTCTCCCCAGGTCTTCCTCTTAATTCTCTCTAGATAGGTCGTCTTAACGTCTCTATTGGTCTCCGCATTTTTCTCCTTCCGTCATTAAATGTGGGCTTATTTTTGACATTCACAAATCAACAAAGCAGATTACATAAAAACCGACAAAAACAGTTTACAAATTAAGGAGTATCATACTAAGCACGATACTCTAGAAGATTAAATGGCTCAAATTTTCTATATTAGTTCTAGGGTTGGCTTATTAGTTGTTTATTAGTTAGTTAACGGATCAAATCGACTATACAGCAGCTATTTGTCAGGGGTTAGATAGAGAAGAATGTTTTATGTTGTCTTTGGCATTTATTAACATCCACAATTGTTTACCCATGTTTATAATCTATACGTCCCGGTTGTGTCTTGTTTTTAGATATCGTTGCAAATTTTTCCAGTGGTCAGCAAGTTACCATCAGTTTTAATGATACTGCACTACAAATCACCCCAACAATGTTTGGTACAATTGGCGCATCGGCATTAATATACAAACAAATCAACGACATCTTCCCATCAGCAAAAGAAAGGTRATGATCTTATGCGCAAAATATATGCATGTTTTCTGTACATGTTCTCACATCAAAATATTTCATTTGTATTCATTGTGAAAGAAATTCGCTTTTAAAAACAATAAAAAGGTCATTTCAGCAGTGAGCGCTTGAATTTTTTACGCATATAGTTCGATCCCAACAAAAATGCAAATGATCTTTTATAATGAGGTGTATAGACGATGTATCAAATGTATTAGTTGATAAAACTGACAAGCCAATTCGATTCTTCATTTCAGAAAAGTTTCATCCCAGACCCCCATGACGGTTGGCTCTTCTGTTCTATCTGTCGTCGCAAGGCATAATGGGAAGGAGGTCCACAATATCAATGGAACATTACAGTTTAAAGTAGATAAAAGTGCGGTGAGTTTTTCAGAGTGTTTTTGTGCTAGGAATTGCATGCCCTCATCCTTTTGTCATTTTACAAGACATGGTTTTTACATCACGCGAAGTAGCAGGGCCGTGTTGTTTAAAGTCGAATAAGCGTTTTAAGGGTTAACTCCATAGCTTTTTTTAATAATTTTCCTAGGATTAGCGCTACAATCAGGGACAGAACAGTTGGTTCTGTCCCTGATTGTAGCGCTAATCCTACTATCTTCTCGGCATGTCTATGACCTCCCCCCCCCGGATTCAGCTTTCCTTCTTATTAGGTGATGACCTTCATTTGTTACATTGAGGATTACCAACATTGTATCGGGGAAGAGGGAAGCAATGGCTATCATTTGTAAAGAAAACATAATCCATCTTTAGCACATGAGGCGACAACACATTATGTCCGCCATTGAAGCTTTGAACAATCCGAGCTTGTAGCACAAGCAGAAAACATGAAAAAATAGCAACACAAAAATCTGACAACCAGAATTTAACATAATCGAGACATCGATAAATCATTTCATAAGATGTAATAATATGAGGATCGCATGGCACTATGGGAAGCATGAATAGAATTTACAGAAAGTTATAGTGCTTAGAAGGAGGTTAATTTTGCACTTTTAAGTAGATAAGATAGCAACACGATACATTTTATAGGAAAATAGGTTTAACGAGACGATGAGATTTATTACAACAGAAAGGCTATCTTTATTACTATCTTCAATAATGATTTTCATATATTTTTCAGATAAACACAGCGCATTCGTTGTGTGTTTACTGGCAAGAAAATTCTAAGTAAGTACTACGCAAATGAAACGTTTTGCTATAGCTTAGAATTGAATTTAAATAACAAGACTCATACCGTTGTGATTGGCTATTGCTGTATYATATCCCAGCATGCTTTTACTGAATATCAATGGCCATTACGCTTTATACATGACTTCCAATTGTTGTAACTAAGATAGAGTATAGACCTGAAGCTTTTACGTCGTGTACTTTTTTTGCAATGCATTGTGGGATCGTTTTGTGGAGAAAACAAAAGAAATCCGCCAAACATCCTACAATGCATTACGTAAACGGTATATGACGCAAAACACATTATCAGAAAGAAATGAAGTGAAACACGAGAATAATCATATGAAATAACGATATAAGGAACGTCGTATGTTATTTGTATGTTATTCCCATGTAATATCAACTTCGAACTTTATTTTTTTGTGATTTGTGGATCATTTTGTCATTTGTCCACAGCATATCATTAGGAGGGGCCTGGTCAACACGTGGTATTAGTATGATTGACACCCATCATGATAATGTCACCRATGCTACTTACTATACCTGTCTAACCAATCATCTTACAAACTTTGCTATCCTTATGGAAACATCAGATTACAAGGTACAAAAAGAACTAATAGAGGGCTCCCTGAATTCATAGTAATTGATCCAATTCAAAAATCATTGTAGGCCCACGTTCATTCGATATTTTCTGGAATACGAAATCGCAATCTTCTATTTTCAACCAATCAGAGATCAACTTTCAACATGAGATCTTTTTTCAAACAAAAGTTTTGTGATGCAAGTGGGTCTTTAATGCAAATATGAAAAAAATATGGTAAACCGCAACGTGACTGTTCTTATTCTCCCGTCAATCAAAATCTCACTGAGCTACTTTGGAGACTCCTTTTCAAGACCTAACGAAATCCGACCATTCATCAAAAAAGTGAAAGATTACATGAAGTCTCGGAAGTTGTTCAGTGATGTACATAGCCAGTTTTGAACAGTGAGAGCAAAAAGACAGATTATAAACCTTGCGTATTTACGAAACTTGCCTTAAGGGTCGCCTAGAAAGTTTTTAGTGACGAGGCGATTGTACCTTCAACAGATATCCCATTCTGATAAGGTCGCACTTGAAATCATCACCTATGTTGGATGTTCATTATCATTGGCCTGCTTGTTACTTACTATATGCACACTACCATGCATAAGGTATGTATTGTTACCAAGGGTACAGAATCTATACACTTGTCTTTCAAAAATGAAAATGTGTCAGAGTMGGGGGACTAGGGACGAAACCAAGGCTAAAACGAAGGCTCAAAGGCCAGCGTTTGTTGGTAAAATAATATGTAGTTGTATAAAAAGATAAATTAAACACCCTAAAAAAAAAAGGAGAAGTAAAATAATATTGCGTCTTGATCAAGTACTCATAGTCGACAGAAAAATAGCATACCATGCACTTCTCAAATTGTCACGTGTGTGATTTTCGCAGTGTTGATGGTAGGCCTCTAAAGCCTCGTTTCACCATTACTAACTCAATAGAAAGCCTTGACCTACCACTACTTTTGAAATTCGTTTATTGTTAGTACTTGTGCTGGTGACCATGGATGCGATGCTCATTTAACTACCATCTTTTATTACAGGCTAAGAGAAATTCGCTTCAAGATTCATCTTCACCTGTGCATTGCACTCGCAGCAGCACAGATTGTTTTTCTTGCAGGAATAAATGCTGTCACAGAAAAGGTAAGCTAGACAACATGCCAATCGAAACAAGAAATGCGATTATTAATCATAATTCACTCAGCTTGTTTTTCGATGCATATTTGTATGACGGATTCTGATTTTAATTGCGAATGAAATAGAAGAGGTATCTGGACGTCGATCACAAGTGCAAATAACTTGGATCGAGTTCGGAGCCCTGAGAAGGACTAATCAAGGTATACTCTCCATGTATTTTGTATGGATTTTATCCTCTGGTTAAGAATTTATCCTGTTATGAATAGCGTTTTCAATCCTCATACATTCGCCCCCCCCCCCCCCCCCCCCGGAACATTAAAGAATCAAAGTGACGAATGCCTGAAAGTATATAGCTATTTCAAAGGTTGTTGGATAAAATGGAGAATGGCAATTGTCGAACGGCGATTGCACGACCGGAAGTAGCCATGGGTTTCGCTAGTTGAAAGGCAATAACAACTAATTTATGCTACAAAATAGTCCTGTTGCTAATAGTTCGTGGCAAAGAAACGTTGGCTTCATTTAGTCTCCATTTCTATGTAAGGTGAATCCAATTAGTGAAATTTTGTTTATGAAAAAAGTATAACCACAGTCCCTTTCGGTCGTGCATTGTCCCTTCGACAATCGCCGTTCGCCGTTCTCCCCGACAACGTTTATTAAAATAGGTGTATAATTACACCGATTGTCTGTCGACATTTTAAATGGGTCTGCTATATAAGGGTCAAAAGTGTAGATTGAACTGGTCCAGTAATGTGACGAAAGTGTCAATCTGCCGATTCACTGGTATAGCTTGGATAGAAAAACTTGGGCGAATTAAATCTAAAAAACATTATAAGTATATAAAACGGTCTCTTATTACATATTCTTATTGGCGGATTTCGAATCTTTGTTTTTACAGATTCCGTGTATGATGGTGGCAATAATGCTACATTATTTTTATACCGTGGCGTTCTTATGGATGTTAGTAGAGGGAGTACATCTTTATCAGAAAATTGTTGTCGCATATGAGAAAAAGGTGGTCAAGAAAAAACATTATTACATGATTGCATGGGGTGAGTAGAGGCCAAGACTAGGTGAATAAAGTCTGGNACGTTTTACCTACTGACGATATGTGAATTGCAAAATGAGTGAACATAAAAAACCCTCTATGAGATAATGAAATGAAATTTTTCAATATTGGTTAAAAATTTGTGTATATTTGGAAGAGATAGTCAAAAGMAAAATTTTTCCTCTGCTCATTCAGATGTGACTAGTATGGCTAAAACAATAGTAAAACAAAAAATTTTGCACTGTCAAGCTTGGAAAAAAGTTCACAAAAACCTACCAACAAAAGGCTTCCTAACCATTACCCTCTGCAAACTATGGGCAAAGTCATAGACCATCTTACATCTTACATCTTACGCATAACTTAACAAATAGAAATGACCATTGCCTGTCAATTAACAACCACATTGCATGTTTTTCAGGTTAATATAGTAATAATCGTCAGAGTTCTTACAGTCATGGTCAATCTAAGAAGTGACCCTTTGAAAAAACAAAAATATACAAAAATGAGGTAAGATGCCTTGTAGTCGTGACGCTATCTACTGTTCGTTTTCAATCATTTTTCTATGATAAGACATAAGACCGGCAGTCGATTTGATTGAATGGACAATTCTATAGAAAATCCTTTGTTGAAGGTCAACCAAGATGGCCACTGTGACGTATATTGCAAGACGAAAACACACACAATTCGTGAAACATTATTATGCAAATTATAATATTAGCGATGTTGGATTCACGGATTGGGCGTGCTTTCTAGTTATTGTCCGTGCTAAACCAATCTATTACGTAATTTCAAACGGAATAAATTTCTTGAAATGGTCCATCGTATTTCAACAGGGCAGCTTTAAAAGGAGTTATAATATTACTTCCATTGCTGGGGTTAACATGGCTCTTCGGGTTGATAAGCGTCAACTCTGAAACAATTGTTTTTCAATATCTCTTCGCGATCCTGAATTCTCTCCAGGTTAGTACAACCAGTTTCCTCTCTGGCACTCCCGTCCTCAAAGCCGTTCGTATTACTTCTGTTGTTATTTTACAACCAGCATCAAGGAACGCTCAGCTATTCAAATCACTTTGTCAGGAATGCCCCATCGGAAAAGTGAAAGGAGTGGGCAGGAGAAAAAACAAGAAATTCCAAATAGTCTTGAAAATAGAGGGAAAATATTCATCCATCAAGCTTTTAAAATTAAAATTTGAATGAAAGAAATTTGTCAACTGTGATAAACAGCATTTCTTAATGCGAGAGATGAAAAAGATCGAGAGGCTGAAAATTCCAAATCCACCGTTCATCCCTGTACATTTCTGACGGTGGATCCCTCACCCTAATTAACCTACCTTCATTATGATATAAGACTAATGATAATGAATGTTCTGTATAACAAGCTATGTTTGTTTTTTTGTTTTTTTTTAGGGTGCTTTCATATTTATTTTTAATTATGCTCTAAATAAGGAGGTAGGTAGGCTACAATGAAGTTCATAAATAATACATGTGAAATCTAAAACATGACAGCATTGAATGGGACCATGGCACTTTAAAAATTCGGAATTATGGATATCGCAAGTCCGTGCGTGTAGTGTAGTCAATCACCAAGTAGATAAACTAAGAATATTAAACATGGAATTATTGTTATGGTTGCAGGTGAGGTCATCGTTTCGTCGTACACTTCAACGAACAACGACAACATCTCTATGATATTTTCATCATAATAACAAAAGCTCTATTTAATTACTCAGGGGTGGGGGGCACAGAGAGGTTAGGTGCTTCATCGTGTATCTTATTAGGGTCCCAACATATTTTAAACCCGGGGTGTCCTTCCTCCGGAGTTCATAGGTTTTTATGTGGGGGATCTGGTGTTATGACAAATGTCTTACTTTTTTCCTCCCCTCAAAGGCCACTGCATTTCCATTGCTGGGGGCATCATCAATAGTTTGAATCTTTTTGGAAATAAACCGATGCTTTCAAGTAGATTTATTTTTACAATGTTGTACACTTCTTTCAAAGTTTTCTAGCCTGCGTAGCCAGGCGTTCCTAGTCGCTTCGAGAGAGTTTGGGGCGGAGAAACCCTCGGGCCCAAACTCTCTCGGAGGGGCTAGGAACGCCTGGCTACGCAGGCTAAAAGTTTTCAAGTTCACGCGAACTCTTGATCATACAAGTTGGTCATATATTAATATATGCAATTTTATGTGGTGATTTGCGGTATGTCCAACCCCTAGAATACGCCTCCTTTAAACACAATGTCAAGGCTGCGTGAGAACAAACATGAAAGGTTAATGCAAACTCACACACCCTTCATAAAATTATTAAAAGAATTCATATCCACTGAAGAGATTGGTCGGCGCAATGTTTAAATGACAAACATCTGACTACAACATCGTTTTAGTTTTTTATTGCAATTTGTAAATATTGAATTCTTTATTTTAGTATGAAATAATTAAAATATAAGCAATTGAGGTGATACGAATAAAAGTATTTAACCCCTTTGCCTCGACTGGTTCATTTTTTTTATCAAAATAAAAAAAAATATTTAACATGTACTACATAAAATAAGCTAAATTTGAACAGGAACTTTTCGATTTCCTGTTTTTCAATGTCCTTTGAAAAGATCCCACTAGAGAATTTGTTCCCATACCGTGTAATCAACGATCTCAATAGATCTTTTTTTACAAAAACAGCATGATAGTT